TTATCTCCAGAAAACTGCTACAAACTGGCTATTTTCAGTTTCTGAGCACTTTCTGTGAGCCCTACACATGTTCAGAGCCACTTAAATCATCTTCCTTCCCCATTCAGTTCAAACTCCAGCAGGTTCTCTTGTACATGCCTACACGCCTAAATGCACTGAGTTGATGCCATGTGATTGGCTCATTATTATTTGCACTAATGAGCAGTTGAACAATAGCCAGTAATAGGTTTACTGACTAATGCATTAGCTGGTGAGTGTATATGATGTTGCAATGGTGGATGCTCATATTAAGAATGGCCAAAATTCCAAACAATGGCAACCTGAGGAGCGAGCAGTTCTCTTTCAAACTCCTGATGCTCACATTAATGCTGTTCTCCATTGTTATGTGGCACATTTAAAGGTGCTGAAAAGGATTAGCTGGCTGGCAGTGCTGATGTTACACTACCTGTGCCATCCACAGGCTACAATTCGAAGGACAATCCTGTTTATCACACAAACATTTCCCAAGTCTTTCATCTGGCTGAGCAATGAAAGTGCAATTAATTTCCGACTCTGCTGTGCACACCTCGAGAACAAAAGCGCGACTCCTTTCAGTGGAGAGGGACCGGCAACAATTTTCCAACCGTCAGAGGACGGAAAAAAATCTTCCCCAAGCTTGAAGGACACCGAGGCTGGTAATAGATTTACTGACTGATTCACGTGAAGGAGAATAAAGAAAACGTATAATCTGACACATAAACGGCGCCACAGGATTTCTCTGTCGCTACCTGATTTCTTCTAAGTGTCTATCTGAAGGATCAAGTCACAGCTGTCAATGAACGTTAAGCCATTTGCTCTAATGTGCTGGTAATGTCGGGGATATTCGGAAATTGCGCGAAAGTAGAATTCAGACACGCATTAGTCAACAAGGTAGTGGAGTACTTTACACTCTTTAATGGCCATTCAGTCAATGACAAGTACATTTCATCGGCTTTGAAGTAAAGAGTAGTATATTTTAAAACTCACTGCATGAAGGCATAGTTGTACTCTACAATCATGGCATACGCACACAGGGAAATATTTAAAGTCATATTGCACAATTGCTTTGTTTGCATCATAACTTTCACCCTTAGATTTTTTTTTTGCCAGGGGGTCAGTAATCCCATTACGTGATAACGATTAGGTTCGCCGCAGTGTCCTCATCAACAATTCCAGCTTCCACTCCCTCTGGGGTACACTTGTGAGGAATAACCCACTTAGCCTCCCTTTAAGTCTCTTTGTTACCTTGGGAAATTGAAGTCTGTGAGGGTCCAATGGGCACATAACAGAAGAGAGGGATGTGATGAGATACTGTAATTGCAATGAAATATACCACATCAGAATGAGCAATACCACCCAAAAACTGTGCCAAAAGCACAGAGGTGCTAAACAACATGCACTATGCTGGTTTTGAGATAAGTACAAGTTGCCTTGTGCATCATTTATGAAAACAGAACAGAAACAAAGGTCTAACCTTCACTCGCTCACACACACACACACACACACACACAGACAGGCTGTATACAAACACAAATGCCTTCATCCAGAGAAACAGCAGCACTAAGACCCTGTTTTCTCCTCTGACTCACAAACTGCAGCGAATGCAAACTGAAAATGATAAGCACATTGTTACATTTTGTGAGCACGCCAGGAACGCCTCGGCTAATTTAAATAAATATGAAGTTTAATTTCTTTTGCATATTCCACAACATACTCTCAATTTTCTGTGTGCTACATACACTTCACCAAGGATAATGGAATCTAAAATAACATAACATGTTCGTTTATGATGATGTTCTGAGCACTTTTAGAGCTAGTTGTTAAACTGTTATGCATTATGCTGAGAGTCTTTAAATAATGCGTTCACCCGTTTCATATACTAAGAAAACAAGACATCTAAGAAAATATAGAATAGAATAGAATAGAATTCAACTTTATTGTCATTGCACATGTCACAGGTACAAGGCAACGAAATGCAGTTTGCATCCATCCAGAAGTCCTTTAGACATGATGTTGATATATTACAAATATATATTAGCAATAATATAGATATGTAAGTATATTACAGAGATGGGTCTATTATGGTATGTTATAATGTACACAGTATGAAGGTATGTTATGAATATGCTATAACTATAAGTATGTACAGGCTGTAGTGAGTACAGGCTATGAAAAGGATATAAACATGAAAAACTATACAGAAATATGAGATATACAGCTATACAGAAATGTGAACTATGCAAGAAAATACTGCCTGACTGCAACTTTTAGGGTGAAAAAGCTTGTTACTGGAGCACTTCCCTCTAAGATACAGCCTTTTTACCCCTGACAGGAGCTCTTGTAATTGATATTGATGTTTGTAGCCTTCATTTTAAAAACCAGTCTTAGTTGACAGTTTTGCTCTTTAATCTAAAAGTTACAAAAATCTACCTTTTTAAAGGGTGGAGAGAAAAAAGGTGCAAAATTGTGCACATATTAGCTTTATTATTGAACACTGATACATTTGGAGATGGATTAGCTTTTGTATATAACTCAAAACTATCAACTGAAACTAAACACAATGTATTAAATTGTTTTTAATTTACTTAAAAGAAACAAAGTATCAGAGCAGTTACTGTTTTATCTTATATATCTGCTCTTTATCTTGTTATCTACGTATCCAATTGCCACATTACACACTCTTTTATGATACTATACCTTAAAATCTACACTCATAAATGATTTTTCACCCTCAATAAACACAAATCGACAATGAGTTTATTTATTCCAGTTATTAAACATTGTGTGCTTGGTCTGAACTGAATGTATACCAGTCAGGTAAATGTCATTGGAATACTGAAAACAAAGAACACATAGTGTAAACAAGAGCAGTATCACTGAAGGCGAGAGTCAAAACTTTGATCCTTATTGATGATTTTATTACAGGTTGATGACGTCAGCCTGTCATGGCTTCATTGTAACATCACAGGGTGTTGTGCAGCTCTCTCCATGACCTTTCTTATGATATATTACTCAACATGACCTTTGGCCATAACAATTAAGGTCAAGGTCGAATGCTTAGCCAGCCAAGATGCTCATGTCCCCCAAGCAGTGTAAAGTTACTTGAAAATAGTAATTAGTTACTAATTACTGATTACTTCTCCAAAAAAGTAATCCATTATGTTACTGATTTTATGTTTTATGTTACTTTATGCACATTGCATCTAGCAAAAATTCAATTATATGGAAGAAGAAATTTGTTTAACATTTAAACCTATTTTCTGCATATTTCAGTATATATAACAAAATAATTATATATGCTAAAAGTAATGTCAGTACTTCCGAGCTTTAAATGCTGTATGCTAGTACTCTCTCCCGCACTCCATATTATCCATTGTTGATCTACACACGTCGCACGCTCGTACGTCATTGTCATGAGACACTCTCACAAACAAAATCACGGTTTAGTAACGCAGCATGCTTACGGGAAAGTAACAGTAATCTAATTACTTTTTTTGCGATAGTAATCCCTTACTTCTTACTTGAAAAAGGTAATCAGATTACATCTCTGCCCCTCTTGAAAGCTTATTTTTGTAAAGTTAAATCTGAACATGATATGTTGAAACTGTGGACCCTGGAGTGCTAACAAAGAGACACACAAACAAACGAACGATTGCATGCTCCCTCCCTTCATCGGCAGAATAATGTGTATGAAAATTATGTTTAAATAAAAAAGTAAATTTGGTAACACTTTAAAATAATTCTTTTTTTCCTGTAAAAACCTGGCTTAGTATATTTGTGGGTCAATATATTACATTGTAATTTAAATAAAATACCTTGATATTCTATCATATTACAGGGGAATTACCCCTGAGTTGAGGCCACATTATAAAGTGTTACTGGCCATTTATACTGTGTTTATCAGCTATAAAACGAGAGGGTTTTGGAAACTGGAAAATTAGTTTTCCCTCTGCAGTCCTCAAGCTTTATTGACAAATCACATTTGAGCTGGCTTTGGATGCTTGCAGGTAAACAGTCCCTGTGATGGCCAAATGAAGCACTGCATTTGCCAAAAAAGGAGTTTATTAACTTTTCAAAATGTGTCACCGGCACACAGCACAGCAAGCTTTACCCCGCCATATCCACCGGCTACACTGGAAGCCCCCAGATTTTGGCAGTCAGCAGAGAATAGTTTCTGGGTTACTGCTGCATGCCTGAGTCACAGTAACAGCAGTACATATCACAGGCTCTAAAATGTTAATCTCTCTAAAAACCTAAAGAAATAAACATGAATCAGTTTTGTCTAAGGTGTAGCAAAGTGAAGTGTGGTATGACTCCCAGAAGCTCCACAAAAAAAGGTTGGAAAACTGATAATAGGAACAAATGACCAACATCCAGAAACCTCACACAGAGAGTCTGAGATGAAGGGTTTAAATAAACTACAGACTGGAGACCTTCTCTGCAGTAATGCGCAGGAGTATCGACTGATTTTGGAAATGTCTTTTTGTTATGAGGTGAGATGTCTTCTCCACGGTAATCTCATCAAGCAGACACTAGAGTGAAATGTTATTGTTTAACTAACCACGTGTGGGACATCAGTCTTGATAGAGTGGGACTGCAGCTGGAGGGGAAAGCACCACAAGGTCTTTATTATTGCAAGCTGAAAAAAGAAAAGCCTTAATAAAATCTGGAGTTTCTAAAAATCAGATGATGTAGTGATTTAGTGTGTGTGTAATGTAACGCAGCTGTGTGGTTGAATGTAGGGCAGTCCCACAGCACCCCCTGGAGGGCAGAACAATATAACAGCTGAGAAACGTACAGTGTGCTGTCTGGCCACCGTCTGTGAGGCTTCACATTACTGATGGTGGTTTAAAATAACACATGAGCACCGTGTGCTCCGCAGGGATATGTAATATTTTCATTTTTGCTGTTTCATTCATAAATATAAGCATCAGAAAATTGTATTAAATCTTCTTTTCTTTCCTCCCCTCTCTGTCCTGCAGGTATCTGAAGCCAGACGAGAACAAAAAGTCAAAGCACAAGACTGCTGTGAAAAAGAAGACGCTCAATCCTGAGTTCAATGAGGTATAAACCACAGCTAAACCTTGCAGCATTTCTTTCTATTTTATTCCTGTTTATTGTTGCCTGAGCTTTATCTGGTGCTTTATGTGCTGAGCGACCTTCATAACCCTGGGACCAACAAAAGCCACTTTGACAGGGCAACACTGTTGGAATTTTTCTTAATTCATAACAAGATGGCTTTTTAAAAAAGCTGCAGAACCAAAAATAACTTAAATAATTAAAGTCCTGTTTAGCCAAGTGTTTACCAGTGAAGAC